GAAGAGCACCCGGAAAATTCAACGAAGAGAAACTAACTAAACAAAGAAAAAGAAGGTAAATTCTTGAACTTAATTCATAGATTTGATTCATAAATTCAATGGCTAGAGAGTTGGGGTTGAGAATTAGTTGAAGAATTTATATTAATGAAATAATGGAGTTCATGGATGTTTTCATGAATTGGTACTATAGGTTTGGGGTATAAACGTATGTATTCTGTATATGCCAAAAAAAAGGGATATTCCTTAAAAAAACCTTTCTATTTCATTAGTGATTGGTAATCAAATATGATTGCTACTAATATTGATGATATTGGAAAAAATTACAATGTAATTTTGATAGCAGTGAGTTGGGATACTGAAATGGGTCTTGATATTTCAAGTAGAATAAGGAGATTTGTTGGGTTATTATAATTCGACGAATTAAGAACCAAACATTAAACATTGAGGGTTGGGCATTCTAAATTGATATGAATTAGCCTAAACATGGATATTAATATGAGATCGATATCATGTAATTATAGATTAATTGGAGAAATTTGTACGAATTGCTCGTGGTGAAGTATTTGGTATTTCGGCACGAGTACTGTGAGTAGTAATCTTACCGGAATTTGTGTTTTCATAACTTGCATGATTTATACATGATTTTAATATGAATATGTTACCGATTATTTTGAGTTGCATGTGGCACAAGTCTTTTACTTGCTACGATACTGAAACAATTATTTGAGATGATTACCGTTATTTTAAATATTCTTGTGTCACTAGATATATTTTACCGTTACTTGAATTTACGGTTATCGAAATGAAATTACATGATTTGAAAAGAACCGAAATGCCCTATATTATTTTAAAATATTTTCTTATGAGTATATAGAGATTACAGAGATAAGTATAAATGGGAGTAGACTTTGAAGGATCCCGTAGCTAACGGCCGGTTCGTTAGCCCTGGTGCACCTTATAATTATCGATTACCGTTATAGCCCTCACTAGTGAAAAAGTAGAACTATTATACCGTTACTGATTTTCCTCGAGTGGGGACTACTGTAATATTTGACTTCTTGCGAAGAAGTCCACAATTATACCGATTACATGATCCGTTCATTGAACCCTCCCAAACATGAATATTAATATTACACAGTATTTACCAAGATTATTACCGAATTGTCAATTGATTTATATTACATAAAATACATNATATATTATAGCATATTTTCTGACTTATCCCCAATAAAAACGGTTGTGATTAAGTATTACTACTCACTGAGCTAGCGACTTATTCCCCGCTAATTTTTTTTAGACACAACAGTTGACGCGGGCGAGGATTTCGTTAATTAGAGTGCACAGGTTGACAGTTCTTGGTGAGCCTCACACTTGTTCGCGTGGGCGAAGATTTTATTTATTGTTATGGTCTTTTCTTTGAACTCTTAGAGTCGCTCCATAGTCATCCTTTTAGTGTCGTGAGTATTTATTTGTTGATATGGACTAGTTACTAGTATTAGACTTTCTTTCCGTATTTTTAGAGTTGGTTTTAGTTTTATTATGTTGAGGAGATTGGTAATATGGGTGAAAACCCGTTTGTAGTTAGTTGATGAAGATTGTGACTGATTTAGGTGAATATTGGTTGATTGTTACTTGTTTATGAGACAGGAAACTTTTTGGATAGTCCAAAAACAGAAAAAACTCTGTCTGTTTTTCTGTAAAATACCGATAAGGCTTTCTTGGGAGCACTTGCTCGTAAGCGCCAGTCACGATCCTAAATTGGGTCGTGACAAAGTTGGTATCAGAGCTTAGGCTTTAAGTCCCGAGTCATGGAGCAATGTTTAGTAGAGTCTTGTTCATAGGTATGTAGGCGCCAATACTTATGATCTTGAGGCTATTGAATATCTAGGAATGTTTTCCCCTCTTTCATTCTTGATCGTGCGTTGAGATAACTTGAGATTTGACTTTGGAGTATTTCTTTTGTAGATGGCTAGGACACGCACACCCTCATCTGCTGAACGTGGTGCCGTACGTGGTACTACCCGAGGTGGCGGTCAAGTTGGGGTTCATCAAACTAGAAGACAAGATGTTCTTCAACCTAAAGTTGGAAACATGGGTGTAACGCCCCGACCGGTCGTTTTGAGCTCTAGCACGTCATTCAGCAGTTTGAGGCCATGAGCAGCTTCACTTCAGGTATTATGATTGGTACGCATGGTCAGAATTGAAATTTCGGAAGTTCAGAGTTGATTTGAAAAGAAAATTTCTCATTTCGGAAGCTTTAAGTTGGAAGAATTGACTAAGGTTGGATTTTGAGTAAACGATCTCGGAATCGAGATTTGAAGGTTTTCACAAGTTCGTATGATGAATTCGGACTTGGGTGTATGTCCGGATAGGGTTTTGGATAACCCGGGAGCGTTTTGGCGCCTATTGTAGAAGTTGGAATTTTGGATAAATTTCATAAATTTGGGTTGACGTGCATTTCAATGTTATCAATGTCATTTTGGAGTCATTTGGCTAAAGATCGAAATTTGAAGGTTTTTGAGAAGTTTGACCGGAAGTGAACTTTTTGATATCGGGGTCGGAATCTGATTCCAGAAGTTGGGGTAGGTCCGTAATGTCAAATGTGACTTGTGTGCAAAATTTGAGGACAATCGGACCTGATTTGATAGGTTTCGGCATCGATTGTAGAAGTTGAAGTTTCAAAGTTCATTAAGTTTGAATTGGGGTGCGATTCATGATTTCGATGTTGTTTGATGTGATCTGAGGTCTCGAGCAAGTTTGTATTATGTTATGGGACTGGTTGGTATGATTGGACGGGGTCCCGGGGGCCTCGGGTGTGTTTTGTGTTGGTTTCGGGTCAATTTTCCCATGTTTTTCTGCTGCTGATGTTGGTTCTAGTATCCTTCATCGCGAAAGCGGGGAGGAGATCGCGTTCGCGAATAAGGATTTGTGGGCTAGAGGAAATTACTTATCTCGAACGCGAGGTGTAGGTCGCGAACGCGGAGATGTTGACTGAGGAAACTACGCGAACGCGAAGGGGCAATTGCGAACGCATAGAAGAAATGATGAGCTGGGCCTAAGGCCATTTGGCCTACGCGAACGTGTAGAGGGTAACGCGAACACGAGGGGTTCTTGGCAGCTGGCCTTCACGAACGTGATCGGTATGACATGAACGCGAAGAGGAAATTTGGGTCAGGAACCTTTGGCCTTCGCGAACGCGATCCTTTGGTCGCGAATGCGATCCTTTGGTCGTGAACGCGAAGAAGGGCGGACCTAGGCTGGGCAGAATGTTTTTAAGTGGGGTTTGAGTTCATTTCACCCATTTTTCACACGGCTTGGGACGAATTTTGGAGCTTTGAAGAGGGGATTTTATCATCAAGCATGAGGTAAGTGATTTCTACTAGTTGTGAGTTACATACAAGGATTATACACGGATTTAGACATGAAAATTTGTAGAAATTTGGGATTTTGAAGAAAAACCTAGAATTTGGTATTTTTGATTTTGACCGCGAATTTGGGCATGAAATTGGGAATAAATCATATATTTGAGTTTATAAGGTTATGGGTAATGATTATCTTCAAAAAGTTTCGGAATCCGGGCACGTGGCCCCGAGGGTGATTTTATCGACTTTTCGAACGGAGTTGGGAATGGTTGTAAATTGAATTGTTATGAGTATTAGAGTATATTTTCGTTGGTTTGCACATTGTTTGGCTAGTTTTGGAGCGTTGGGTATCGGTTTGAGTTGTTTGAAGGGCTCGGAAGCCGATTATGGAACTTCGGAATGAGGTAAGTCTCCTTTCTAACCTTGTAAGAGGGAATTTACCCCATAGGTGAAATAAATCACTGTGTGCTCCTATTTGTGGGGGCTACGTACGCACGAAGTGACGAGAGTCCGTGCGTAGCTACTATTATGCCTAAGTTCGGGTAGTCTAGGACCCAAAAGCATGCTTTACTTGTAATATTTGCAGTCTTGTTGTCAATTGAAATGCCTAAATCATATCGAACTTGGTAAATAAACTTTCTAAAAAGCTAAACATCATTTAATGACTGTTAAAAGAACCATTGACATTTCCTTGGAAAATTTCCTCTTGATGAAGTCTTGATTGACTGTTTGAGTGTGTTTATCTTTGTGGAATGGGCCGAACACCTCGATAGATTAAATAGATGCATCTATGGTTCGCGCCATTCGATCCTTTGGCAGTGCACAGTTTAAATATTTGTTGAATCGGGCCGTACGACCTCAGCATGATTTGCGCATGCTTGTATTGCTTGCCTTGAAATTTATAAATAACGATATTGCCTCCCTGGTATGAGATAAATTTATAATTTGATATGGCCTCATTGGCCGGAGATATAAATTTTTAAAAGATGAAAATAAATTTGGAAATCCCCTATTGACAAGAGAATTATTTACCTGTCTCATGTTATTTTGTTTATTGTTGCCTCATAAAAATCCATAATTTAGCATATCATTGGTATATTGATTATAGCCCATAGTAAGTGTCCGAGTCGACCCCTCGTCACTACTTCTTCGAGGTTAGGCGGGATACTTACTGGGTACGTGTTGATTTATGTACTCATGATACACTTGCTGTACATTTTTGTTCAGGTACACATATGTTTAGTGGCCTTGTGGGTGCAGAGGCGCGATTATGGCGGGGATTTAGGTGAGCTGCATCTTATATACGATCCGCAGCTAATAAAGTCTCCTTCAGATTACTTATATTTTCCTACCCAATTGTATTTCGGACAGTTGTTGTATTTTATTTTAAATTTCTAGAAAAGGCTCATGCACTTGTGACACCGGGTTTTGGGATGAGTATGGGATGATTAGTATTGAAAAAATAAAAAAAAACAACATTGTTATTTATTCTGTAAATTCATCTTTTACTAGTTAAATTGAAGTAAATTTACAATTTCAAAAATATTAAAATGAGGATTTAATTAACTATTTAGTGTTGGCTTGTCTGACAATGGAGTCCCGCGCCATCACGACCTTTATGGATTTTGGGTCGTGACAATGGGTCAACCCCAAGCTACTATGCCAGATCAAGTGCAAGAACAGGGGGTTCAGGATGCTCCATCACCAGTGCCAACTGTTGTACCTACTGTTGCCTTACCTGCAGACACAATGGCAAAGTTATTGAATGTGTTAGAGGCATTGGTGCCTACTCAGGGTGGAAGTTCAGCTCCTCAGAGTTCTGAAATTGAAATCACCAAAATTCACAGGTTCTGATAATTCAGCAGATCCTCAAAGTTTCTTGGATGGGACACTCAAGGCATTGCGTGCTCTAGGATGTTCTAGTGAGAGGGTCGTAGAGCTTGCAACATACAAACTAGAGGATATGGCTAACATATGGTATGAAACTATATTGCTAGGAAGGCCAGCAGGAGCAACCCCACTAACATGGGACAAGTTCAGTAAGTTGTTTATGGATCATTTTCTTCCAGATAGCCTGAGGCAAAAATATGTTAGAGACTTTGAGAGATTGGTTCATACTCCAGATATGGATGTGTCAACCTACAACACGAAGTTTTGTAATCTAGCGAGACATGCTCCTTACATAGTGCCTACCCATGAAGCTCGAGTTCAAAGGTTTGTTGATGGGTTGGTTAGTCATCTATACACTGCAGTAGCCCCACAGATGAAGACTTTGTCCTACACTAATGTAGTCGATCTCGCTAGAAAGATTGAAAATAAGGGACGTGATGAGCGTGCAACTAGTGAATTACGTAAGAAGGCCAAGACAAGATGATCTTTCAATGGCAGTTTTAGTGAAAATCATAGAGCAGGAAATCAGGGACAACAACAACAGGGTTCTCAGACATGGACACATTTGTCTTCACAGTCCGCATACAGACCACATTACAGACAGGGTGCTAGGGTACCATCATCATTATCATCTGGACATCGTAATTCTGGGAAAATATATGCCACTGCTCTAGTCTGCCAGACCTGTGGTAGATCACATTTGGGCCAGTGTCATGTTCTGACTGGAGAGTGCTTTCGATGTGGCCAGTTGGGACATCACTTGAGGGATTGCCCTCACCCTCCGAGGAATTTCAACCAGGCTTCTATTCAGTCAGTTGTACCTACTCAGACTACTCGTAATACTTCAGGTGCTACATGTACATGAAATAGAGGTCGAGGTGCTGGAGATCGTGCTACTGTGAATCAAGGACAAGGGAATGCATTTACTAGACAGGATGCTCAGGCCTCGAATGCTTCTGTTTGTTCATTTGATGCACTTGCATTGATTGATCCGGGATTTACTCACTCCTATGTGTCCTCGTACTTTGCTTTGAGGTTTAGTAGACAGCCCGAGCTATTGAATGATCATTTTCTAGTTGCTACTCCTGTTGGAGAGTCTCTATTAGCTGAATACGTGTATCATGCTTGTCAGATTCGGGTTGACGGTAGGGATACTCTAGCTGACCTTATTGTACTTGATATGATTGACTTTGACATGATGATGGGAATGGATTGGTTATTTTCTTGCTATGCTATCGTTGATTGTCATGCAAAGATGGTTAAGTTTGGGATACCAAACGAACCCAATTTTGTTCTAAAAGGGGGTCAGGTTCTAGAGACTTGCAATGTTGTATCTTTTATGAAGGCTCAACGACTTTCGAAAAAAGGTTGGTTAGGTCTCTTAGCTATTGTAAATGACACAAGAAAGGAAACAATTAGTATAGAAAATATACCAGTAGTGAGAGAATTTTCTGATATATTTCCTGGGGATTTACCAGGATTGCCTCCAGTACGAGAAATAGATTTTGGTATTGATTTGCCACCTGACATACAGCCCATATCAATACCCCCATATCGGATGGCACCAACAGAGTTGAAGGAGCTAAAACAACAACTTCAGAATTTGTTAGATAAGGGTTTTATCATACCGAGTATATCTCCATGGGGTGCACCAGTACTCTTCGTAAAGAATAAAGATGGATCCCTGAGAATATGCATTGACTACAGGCAGTTGAACAAGATAATAATACGCAATAAATATCCTTTTCCTCATATAGACGACATGTTTGATCAGTTACAAGGATTTGCCCACTTTTCAAATATTGACCTCCGTTCTGGTTATCATATGCTTAGAATCAAATATGAAGATATTCCTAAGACTCCTTTCAGAACTCGATACGGGCACTATGAGTTTCTTGCGATGCCTTTCGTACTGACTAATGCTCCAGCTGCATTCATGGATTTAATGAATAAGGTGTTCCATCCATTCCTGGATATATTTGTAATAGTATTTATTGATGATATCCTGATATATTCTCATAGCCAAGGAGAACACGGGAATCATCTCAGGACTGTATTGCAGACATTGCGAGAACATCGGCTTTATGCTAAGTTCTCAAAATATAAATTTTGGCTAGACTCAGTAGCATTTCTGGGGCATATTGTATCCAAAGATAGGATTATGGTAGATCCTAAGAAGCCAGAAGCTGGGCAGAAATGGCCCGGACCTACTTCTCCTACAGAGATTCATAGCTTTTTAGGCTTGGCAGGCTATTACAGGCGTTTTGTGTAGGAATTCAAATGGCACCGTACGAAGCATTGTATGGTAGAAGATGTCGTTCTCCTATTAGATGGTTTGAAGCTTGTGAGACTAACTTATGGGGACCCGATTTAGTACAAGAATCTATGGACAAAGTCCAGTTGATCAGACAGAGATTGCTTACAGCTCAAAGAAGACAAAAATCTTATGCGGATAAGAGAAGAAGAGACTTAGTGTTCGCAATTGGAGACAAAGTGTTCCTACGAGTCTCTCCTATGAAAGGTGTAATGCGGTTTGGGAAAAGAGGCAAGTTGAGCCCCAGGTTTATAGGACCGTATGAGAACTAGACCGAATGGGAGCCGTGGCTTATCATTTGGCACTTTCTCCTGAGTTGTCTTTTATTCATACAGTGTTTCATGTCTCAATGCTAATAAAATGTATATCAGATTCATCTCAGGTGCTTGAAGCGCCGACTATACCGCTTGATGAGAAGTTGTCTTACGAGGAGGAGCCGATGGCTATTGTTGATAGACAAGAAAGGAAGCTACGGTCAAAAGAAATTGTATTCGTGAAAGTCCTATGGAGAAATCATACCGTTGAAGAAGCTGCTTGGGAAATTGAAGATGATATGCGCGTCAAATATCCTCATTTATTTTAGTCTACAGGTACGTGCTTAAGTTAAATTCGGGGACCGAATTTTATAAGGTGAGGAGGATGTAATAGCCCATAAATTTCAAATAAGGACATATTGGTCATTTAACAAAAAAAAAAAGAATAATACACAAAAAGAAAAGGGCTGAAGCCCACTAGATTACAATCTAGCAAAAAGGGAAAGCAAAAAAAAGAGATTAAGGGAAGGGGAAGGACTCACGATAAACACAAAAGAAAAGAAAAAGAGGTCTTTGGCTAGTAGAAGGATTCTAACACAGGAAAAACTCACGGGCAACAATAAGTTAAGGGAAAATTTGGTAAAAAGCTTGGCAGCCACTTTTGAGTACAAAAGAAAACGTGAGATTGTCACTTTCCTTCCATTGAAGAGCACCCGGAAAATTCAACGAAGAGAAACTAACTAAACAAAGAAGAAGAAGAAGAAGAAGAAGAAGAAGAAGAAGAAGAAGAAGAAGGTAAATTCTTGAACATAATTCATAGATTTGATTCATAAATTCCATGGCTATAGAGTTGAGGTTGAGAATTAGTTGAAGAATTTATATTAATGAAATAATGGAGTTCATGGAATTTTTCATGAATTGGTACTATAGGTTTGGGGTATAAACTTATATATTCTGTATATGCCAAAAAAAGAAGAAGAAGGGATATTCCTTCAAAAACCTTTCCGTTTCATTAGTGATTGGTAATGAAATATGATTTCTACTAATATTGATGATATTGAAAAAATTTACAATGTAATATATATAGCGGTGAGTCGGGATACTGAAATGAGTCTTGATATTTCAAGTAGAATAAGAGGGATTTGTTGGGTTATTATAATTCGACGAATTAAGAGCCAAACATTAAACTCTAAGGGTTGGGCATTCTAAATTAGCTACGAATTAGCCTAAATATGGAAATTAACATGAGATCGATATCATATAATTATAGATTGATTGGAGGAAGTTGGACCAATTGCTCGAGGTGAAGCATTTGGTATTTCGGCATGAGTATTGTGAGTAGTAATCTTACCGCAATTTGTGTTTTCCTAACTTGCATGATTTATACATGATTTTAATATGAATATGTTACCGATTATTTTGAGTTGCATGTGGCACAAGTCTTTTACTTGATATGATACTGAAATAGTTATTTGAGATGATTACTGTTATTTTAAATATTCTTGTTGTCACTAGATATGTTTTAACATTACTTGAATTTACGGTTATCGAAATAAAATTACATAATTTGATAAGAACCGAAATGCCCTATATTATTTTAAAATATTTTCTTATGAGTATATACGGATTACAGAGACAAGTATAAATGGGAGTAGACTTTGAAGGATCCCGTAGCTAACGGCGGGTTCGTTAGACCTGGTGCACCTTGTAATTACCGATTACCGTTACAACCCTCACTAGTGGAAAGGTAGAACTAGCGTACCGTTACTGATTTTCCTCGAGTAGGGACTACCGTTATATTTGACTTCTTGCGAAGAAGTCCATAGTTATACCGATTATATGATCCGTTCATTGAACCCTCCCAAACATGAATATTGATATTACACAGTATTTACCGAGATTATTACTGAATTGTCAATTGATTTATATTACATGAAAGACATGATGAGATTGATTATTGTTTATTGTTTCTGAAAGGGCATTCTTATGATATTTTCTGTTTAATATATATATTAGCATGTTTTCTGATTTGTGCCCAATAAAAACGGTTGTGGTTAAGTGTTATTACTCAATGAGCTAGCGACTCATTCCTCGCTATTTTTTTTCCAGACACAGCAGTTGACGCGGGCGAGGATTTCGTTAATTAGAACGCACATGTTGACAGTTCTTGGTGAGCCTCGCACTTGTTCGTGTGGGCGGATATTTTATTTATTATTATGGTCTTTTCTTTGAACTCTTAGAGTCGCTCCATTGTCATCCTTTTAGTGTCGTGAGTATTTATTTATTGATATGGACTAGTTACTAGTATTACACTTTCTTTCCGTATTTTTAGAGTTGATTTTGATTTTATTATGTTGAGGAGGTTGGTAATATGGGTGAAAACCCGTTTATGGTTAGTTGATGAAGATTGTGACTGATTTAGGTGAATATTGGTTGGTTGTTACTTGTTTATAAGACAGGAAACTTTTTGGATAGTTCAAAAACAGGGAAAACTCTGTCCGTTTTTCTGTAACATACCGATAAAGCTTTCTTGGGAGCACTTGCTCCTAAGAGCCGGTCACGATCCTAAATTGGGTCATGACAGCAATGCACCGACGACTTTTCAACGGTGTATGATGGCTATCTTCACGGACATGGTGGAGAATTTCCTTGAGATCTTCATGGATGATTTTTCAGTGGTCGGGAATTCTTTTGATGATTGCTTGAAAAATTTGGATAAGATCTTGGCAAGATGTGAAGAGACGAACTTGGTACTCAATTGGGAGAAATGTCACTTCATGGTCGAGGAAGGCATTGTACTTGGCCACAAAATTTCAAAGAATGGTATTGAGGTCGATAAGGCCAAAATAGAGGTGATTTCTAAACTTTCACCCCCAACATCCGTGAAGGGAGTGAGGAGTTTCTTGGGTCATGCGGGGTTCTATCGCCGTTTCATCAAGGAATTTTCCAAAGTGGTGAACCCCTTGTGTAAGCTATTGGAGAAAGATGCCAAATTCCATTTCAACGAGGATTGCATGAAAGCATTTGAATTGCTCAAGTCCAAATTGACAACTACTCCTATTATCATCGCACCGGATTGGAGCTTGCCTTTTGAGCTCATGTGTGATGCAAGTGATGTGGCGGTCAGAGCAGTTTTGGGGCAATGTATCAACAAAATCTTCCATCTGGTCTACTATGTTAGTAAGACCATGAACAATGCCCAAGTAAATTACACGGTGACCAAAAAAGAGCTCCTTGCTATTATTTTTGCTATGGAGAAGTTTCGCCCGTACTTGATGGGTACAAAGGTGATTGTCCACACGGATCATGCGGCATTTCGGTACCTAATGATCAACAAAGATTCAAAGGAGCGGTTAATGAGATGCGTGCGTTTATTGCAAGAGTTCGATCTAGACATCCAAGACCTCAAAGGCAGTGAAAACCAAGTGGCGAACCACTTGTCTCGCTTGGAGGAGGAGGAGAGGCCACATGACGGCCTTGAAATCAATGACTCCTTCCCCGACGAGAAACTTCTAGCCATTTCAATGATCGAGATTCCATGGTTCGCTGATTTAGCAAATTATCTTGTGAGTGGTATTGTACCAGATGAGTTTTCTTCAAATCAAAGGAAAAAGCTCAAATGGGATTGCCTAGACTATTATTGGGATGAACCATACCACTTCCGGATTTGTACCGATGGCATGATTAGAAGATGTGTGCCGGAGGAGGAACAAGTTGAAATTCTTGGGGCTTGTCATTCTTCACCCTACGGTGGTCACCATGGGGGAGCAAGAACGGCTGCCAAAGTGTTGAGTTGCGGATTTTATTGGCCTATTCTCTACAAGGACGCAAGTGATCTAGTCAAGCATTGTGATGAATGTCAAAGGGCCGGTGGAATTTCAAAGAAAAATGAGATGCCCCTAACCACCATATTGGAAATTGATATTTTTGATGTGTGGGGTATTGATTTCATGGGACCGTTTGTAAGCTCTTGTGGGAACACCTAGATTTTGGTAGTTGTGGATTATATGTCAAACTGGGTTGAGGTCATTTCTCTACCCAACAACGAAGCTAGAAGTGTGGTGGCATTTTTGAAAAAGAACATCTTCACAAGGTTTGGTACTCTGCGGGTCATTATAAGCGATGGGGGTCGCATTTTTGCAACAAAGGTTTTGATACCTTGCCTAGCAAGTATGGTGTCACTCACAAAGTCACGACCCCCTATCACCCTCAAGAAAGAGGACAAGTGGAAGTCTCCAACCGGGAGATCAAGAGTATTTTGTCAAAAACAGTGAATGCCAACCGGACGGATTGGTCAAAGAAACATGATGATGCTTTATGGGCTTATAGGACGGCTTACAAAACACTGATTGGGATGTCTCCATACCGATTAGTGTTTGGGAAAGCTTGTCACCTTCCGGTGGAACTTGAGCACAAGTCCATGCGGGCTTTGAATAAGCTAAATCTTGAGTGGGATGTCGCCTCCAACTTAAGGGTGGCACAATTGAATGAGCTAGATGAATTTCGGTATCATGCATATACGAGTTTATCCTTATACAAGGAGAAGATGAAGTACCTCCATGACAAGTACATTCGGAACAAGGAGTTCAAAGAAGGTGATCTTGTGTTATTGTTTAATTCTTGGTTACGGATGTTTCCGGGAAAGTTGAAGTTTAAATGGAGTGGCCCGTTTGACATTGTAAGTGTGACACCCTTTGGTGCATTAGACTTGAAGAATAAAAATGATGAAGTGTTTAGAGTTAATGGTCACCGGGTGAAGCATTATTTGGGAAAAGTTGATGATGGCCACGTCGTGGCATTGATTCATTTCAAGTGATTGATGGTAATCTGCGTCGTGCCGCGACGTTAAATCAAGCGCTTCTTGGGAGGTAACCCATGTTTCTTTTTATTTTTATTTTTCTTCCTTTTTAGATAGGTCTTGTTTTGTACTAACTGATTTTGAAGTATGTTGCAGGAATGAGTGTGCTTTGCAGGAACTGTGCTCAGGAAAAATGCTAAGTGTGAAAAAAAGTGCGGACCGCACAATCTTGATGGCCACAGCAGAAGGCGTCTGCGGCTGCATAATTCATTGTGAGACCGCACAACTGGAGATCACAAAATTACAAACTCTCTGAAGTTCGAATTGCAGAGTAATGGCTGATCTGCGGTCGCACAAGGAATTGTGCGGTCGGTACAAATATCTGCGGTCGCACTAAAAAATGTTCGGACCATAGATCGACAAAGAGGGAAGCAGATGAAAGGTAAAGAGTGCGGACCACACATAAAATTGTGCGGCCGCACTCAACTGCTAATCCTTGCCCTAAAATAGGCCAACTATAAATAGTGACCC